GATTCAGTCACTGCTGGTCAGTTTCAACAGCGGCTGAATCTGGACACCAGTTCTGACTTACATACAAATTCTACTTAAGAACAAACCTACAGTCCCTATCTTGTACGTAACCCGGGGACTGACTGTACTACCAAAGAATACATTCAGAAATCTTCTTACTTCAGGATTGTGAGATGCTGTAACCATGACTCCAATAGTAGATTTGGTCTTCTGCTGGTCAGTTTCAACAGCGGCTGAATCTGGACACCAGTTCTGACTTACATACAAATTCTACTTAAGAACAAACCTACAGTCCCTATCTTGTACGTAACCCGGGGACTGACTGTACTACCAAAGAATACATTCAGAAATCTTCTTACTTCAGGATTGTGAGATGCTGTAACCATGACTCCAATAGTAGATTTGGTCTTCATGGACCTTAGCACTGCCAGCAAACCCATGCGATACATGATGTGATCAAGATGCCCTGCCTTGGTACGAAATCCAGCAGTTCCATACTGAAGAGTGAGTCCAGCTGGTTTCAGATGTAATGCTGAGTATTTTGCAACTGCCTCAAAATCCATTTCTATAAAAGGAAACGACTAAAATCACCATAATACATTTCATACATTACATTAACCTCGAAAATCCACAGATACATTGAATTGACCAGATAAAATAAGCCTCTGAAGACAGCAACAAGTAGCATTTACATAAAAAAGCTTTGAGTTTCCAAGGTTGGTATGCAGCTTTCTCCCAACTTAAAACAAGGTCGGGGTTTGGCTGTGCCAGAAAAACAGGGAGTGCCTGAGATGGGATTCTTTTCTAGAACACAGAAAGGCAGGGATCTGAGAGCCGGGAGAGTTACGCTCCTCGATGGCCATGAGGGGCAGAGGATATTTATACTGCAGAGTGACCACAGGGGGGTCCCGCACCAGGCAGAGTGGCCAGCTGGAGCTCCCCATGTTGCTGACCACTGGCCATGAGTAAGCAGCGCTCCTGTCCCAAACCCCTGCACCAGTCCTAAGCCACAGCACTGGAGGAGAAGCCCTGCTAGCTAGGTCCAGGCAGCACAACCCTTTCCTCCCCACCCCACACGCGGAGGAGACACAGGCTGGGACCAGACAGCACAGCACCTCTCGCCAGCCCAGAGAAGATCTGGGCTGGCCTGGGCAGTGCATCCCCAGCCTCCTGGAAGGAGCCACTGGCTGGGCAGCACGGGCCTAGGCACTCCAGGGAGCTGGGAGCACTACCAGCACTACCCTCACTGCTGCTGAAGGCCCTTGTGAGCCTCTGCAGACCTCTCAGCCCTGACTCCTGCATCCCCTCACCCTCTGCTCCCACAAGGACCTGAGTAATACCAGGTAAAGCTTCTAGTAAATATATATACATTTAAATAGCAACTCAAACCCTTGAGTGATTTTATCCAAGATTAAGTCTAGATATATTCACGCAAGACCATTTTCTTGTGTTTAGCTAGTGTTAGAGTCAGGATTATTAAATATCTGAATTGAAACCGATCCTGTATGGAAGGTCCAGACCAAGACATTCACATCCCACAAGACAATAATACGTTTGCAGAAGATTCAAAAGCATTACAGCCCTGGAAAGGAGCCTCCACATCACCTGTATATCTTGAAGGAAGTCTGTGCTAGCTGCACAAGTGAGTGCTGACTGAGGGAGAGACTGGGCCAAGAAAGGACCCTCAATTACACCGGTCCTGTGGCCCTAGTACAAGTGGCAGAGAATGACCACGTCTCCTATTCCAGACAACAGCAGGCAGAAGGCATACAGCTGCAACACCAAGCCAAATTCCCAGTTCAGTGGTGTTGTCCAATTTCCTTCCCCCCCACCCCCCCACACACACTAAACTCAGTGAGAGATTTATCCTCTGTTTCACTAAAAGTGAGATTAGACCTCCCTTTCTTTCCTGAGCAGCAACTGACAAACATACCAAACTGTTGTCACTTTGTAACAAGCAGGGGCGGATATAGGGCAGGGCGAATGGGGCGGGTGCCCCAGACCCCGTGCTTCAGAAAGCCCTGCGCATGCGCCGTGGCAAAGGGGGGGGGCCCCGCGGAATTATGCTGCCCGGGGCCCCGCAAAATGGTCATCTGCCCCTGGTAACAAGCACAGATGTATTCTCTACAATTGGATAATTCCAATTTCATATTCTTTTGTGAACTGGAGTAGGTTTCCACCCTAGTTTTGGTTTGGACATATATTCTTAGTACATTAATCAAATGTCATAAAGATGCCTTTGACATTTCTAGGGATGTTTTTAAATGAGAAACTTTAGAAAATACACAGAAATAGTCTGTACTTTACCACGTCTGATTTTGTAGTGAACTTCTGAGTTTGCAAACTTTCTAAAGCCATCCATTTCACTGGCAGTTTAGCTCCAGTTTTATTGTGCACACTGTAGTATTCTTTATCATAGACATCTCTAGCAAGACCAAAATCAGCAACCTTGACAGTGAATTTTTCATCCTGCATATTACTTTCTTTTCTTCTTGTAAATATCCAAAGCAAAAAATATTATTTGTTCTACGGAAATTCTTAGGGGCTCCAACCACAGATCAGAGCTCAACTGTATTAAGTGTTATACAAACAAAACCAAAAGCATCCCTCTCCAAAGAGCTTACCTATGACTACTACACTACACCCCTTACAACAGCAGAGGCATGTCACTGCAGCCACACTGCCGTAAGGTGCACAATTCTTTTGATGCCAGGAGAGAGCCCTCCCAGTCATAAAATAAAACTACTTCCGGTAAGAAACAGGGACAGAGTGGAGTAGAGGCAGGGACTTGGTGGCACAGCAGTCAAGAAGTCAGTGTCTGCATCTCATATGGTCTATTGGGAACTGGAAATATGATAACCCTAGCTTAACAGTGCAGGAGCGACCTATCAGTGGCACTATTTCAGATGGGGGGGGCTGGTCAACTTTAACTGGGATTCCAGGGGCTGTTTAAATACTTCAAAACTCTTTTGGTAAGTAATTAAGCTGACAGGAGCACTGTAATTGCTATCTGATCCCTATTAGGAATGTTAAAATGTGTTTATTTTGGTAAATGTGTAACCGTTGAAATTTTCCATTTACAAAATGAGCCATGTGTATCAGAGGCAGTAGCGAAAGGGCGGGGTGGAGGGAGGAAAGCAGGAGGCTCCATGGAAGCCAATACACATGGGAAGTCAGTTTAAAAGCCAGCATGTAACTGTGAAGGTTAACCAATGAGCCCAGGCACATCGGTGAACTATTTATATGCTTACTATCACTAGAGGGCTGCACCTCCCTGCTCACTAAGCTCGCCAACCCCCCTCTCATGAAAGGTAGGCAACCCCAGCTCTCCACCCAGCCATGGGGGTAGGCTGTGCTGCACCTGTGAGAAGGGTAGGCAACCCCGGCTCTCCACCCAGCCATGGGTGTAGGCTGTGCTGCACCTGTGCCAGCCAGGGCCCGTTTTTCCTTTCTCTCACACTGTGCTGGCTCAGGGCCCTGTCTCCTGCTAACTACCTCCTCTCCTAAAAGACTGAGCAGGAACTGGCTCTGCCCCTGGTGGTTGGGTAAGGCCGGGCCGTGGCTGCACCAGACCCGGCTCTTCACATGGCTACCAGAGAGGGCTGGAGTGACAGTGTGTGGGCTTGACTCCAGGGCTGGGGCCTAGGGCAGAAGGAACAGGGCTTTACCTGCGCATGCCCCAGCCTGTGGATGATGATGTCACTTTGTTATCCCACAGGAAAAAAAAGTTAATTTTATATAGCGAGAACGATTGTTAAGGGATGCTGATTAGTATGTAATGTATATTCTTACTTCATTACCAACTCTGTAGAGAGAAACAGAAATATTGACATGGAATGGGAGTGGTGTCTAATGGGTTACTGCAGAGGGTACATACATCTGAGTTCTATATAGATTGACCCTGTCAGGACTCCTGGGTTCTCTTTCAGATATGGAATGGGAGTGGTGTCTAATGGGTTACTGCAGAGGGTACATACATCTGAGTTCTATATAAGGACATCAGAATGGCCATACTGGGTTAGACCAATGGTCAATCTAGACAAGTATCCTGTCTTCCAACACTGGCCAATACCAGGTGTTTCAGAAGGAATGATCACAACAGGCAATCAGCAGGTGATCCATCCCATTGCCCATTCCCAGCTTTTAGCAAACAGAAACAAGGGACATGCAAAATATGGTGTTGGATGCCTTCCCGTCCTATCTAATAGCCATTGCTGGACCTATCTGTCATACACTTATTTAATTCTTATTGACTATAACCCCATTATAATTTTGGCCATTACAGCATCCCTGGCAAAGAGTTCCACAGGTTGACTGTGAAAAAATATTTAAATCTACTACCTATTAATTTAATTGAGTGCCCTTGTTTCTTGCATTATGTGAAAGAGTAAACCCTTATTCAATTTTATAGACTTCTATTATACCCCGGCACCTCCACTCATCTCTTTTTCAAGCTAAAAAGTCCCAGTCTTTTTATTTATCCTTATACAGAAGGTGTTACGTTCCCAAATCCAGGGATTTTCAAAACTGGGTTGCAGGCATCCCCAGAGAAGCCAATGGTGGGCCGTGAGATGCTTTGTTTATCTAAGTGTCCATCAGCACAAAGCCTCGCTGCTCCCCTTGACTGCAGTTCACCATTTCCAGCAAAAGGGAGCTGTGGGAAGCGGAGGCTCAACTATTATATAAACAAAGCACCTTACCAGGGGAGGCTCACAACCCAACTTTGAAAACCCCTACCGTAATCATTTCTGTTGTCCTTCCCAGTCAGTACCTTTTCCAAATCCAATATATTCTTTCTGATATAGGGTGTCCAAATTTGCATGAAGTATTCAAAGGTGTGTATACCATGGATTTATATACTGTAGTGGTGTAGGCAAAATCCAGCCCACTAAACATTACCCTCTGGTCCACCATAACCCTCCAGGCAGCTAAAAGTCCCACAGCACAGCAGGCAGGCTGCCTGCTGCAGCCATGCCAAGCCTGTCTCTGAGCTCCCCTTGGGCAGAGGGAGGCAGTAGGTATCCACATCCTGGCCTCACTCCCATTCTCACAGCTCCCACTGACCAGAAATCATCCAATGGGAGCTGCAGGGGCAGTGCTCACAGAGTCCCTCCAAGGGGCACACAAAGACGTGCTTGCAAGCAGTAGCCTGCCACTGCGTGTGACACGGGGCCACCATGGCATGCAGGCAGCACTAGGTCCATTACAGATCCCCAGGCGATAACACTATTTACCTCTCTCAAGTCTCACCATTTGTTTCCTACCCTTGTTTCTACCTTTCAACTGGAGAACCGGGCAATGCTCTGGGATCACCTAAGGGTTCTTAATTTACCTTCCCCGAGCTTTTTGTTATTTTAATCACTCTGTCCATAAACAAACGCCCAGCCCCAAAGGCTGCTGCTGTTCCCAGCTTCTGAACTGAATCAAGC